AATCTAACATGTTTTAAAAATTCTTTATTCCTCTACTGTATACAATTTAAAGAATTTTTAAAATGTGTTAGATTGGTCACATGGTGTGATAAACCCTTACCTAAGATAACCTTTGTAGTTATATAAATAAAATACTGTAATATAATATAATAGAAAGGTTAGAAGTACAAAATAACCTTAATGTTTGTTTTTATTTTTTGCCCGGGTAATGCTGGGCTTATCTGCTAGTTTACCTAATAAAAATATAATATATAAATAACAGTATCAATAACTAAATATTTACTCTAATCAACTGTACTTATGTTGCCTGCATAGTGACAACTTAACTTCTATGATTTTGAATTCTAAATTAAATCTAAAAAGAAAAAAAAGTAACTCAAGGCTTTAAATGATATAACTGATAATATACCTGATTAGCTTTTATAGGAGATGGACTCAAATCTTGCTCTTGATCAATCTGTTCTTTCACCTGGTCTGAATCAATATTTTCTTCTATATGTTCTGAGTCATTCTTTTCTTCTGCCTGCTCTGGATAAATCTTTTCTTCTGACATTTCTAAATTATTCAGATGGAAGAAAAGTTCATTTGTTGTTTTCAAGAACTTAAACTTATTTATTTAAACAAATATAAAAATTTAATGAATTATAACATTGTACATTTTGATCAATAACTTTTTTCATCTTCTCAATTATTGAAAAATGCCCTTCTGCCAGGATTTTTCATCTTTTTTGGTCAATAAAGTAGTCAATACGTTTTTTACAATCTTCAAAAGAAACAATATTTTCCAATTCAAATTTCAGATAAAAATTGAAAGGTGCAAGAAATGTTGAATATAGTGGGTGTGATGGCATCCCATCCAAGTTCCAGTAATTTTTTTTTAGTCTAAAAATACTTAACGGTTTTAGACTTCTCTTTGATTAAATAATTTGGCCATTTTTATTAAATTATCACATTTAACTGATTGAGTTACCAACAATACTTATCTGAATTAATTGTCTGATTGTTAACTATAAACTCATAGTGTACTGTATGCACTATACCTTTCCAACCCCATCAAATGCTGAACATTGTCTTCTTTGGGTGAAGATAAAGTTTTGCAACATTATTTGCTGGCTCATTCTACATTATTCAATTCCTTTTCTGTGCATTGTCGTCATAAACAATTCAATTTTTATCACCTGAATTCATGTCTTTTAAAAATGGAAGTTTGGCATTTTGCTGGAGAAAAAAAAAATTCATAGCATGCTAAAAATCTAGAACAAATTTTTTCACTTTAAATTTGTGTAATCCAGATTTTGTATTTGTTGACCATTCCATCTATGCAGATGATCAATAACTGCTGAATAACATATCTCCATATTTTCACTATATCTCTAGTAGTTACTCTGGGATTACTTTGCATTTTCACCAGAATTAAACTTGTGTTGACCTATAGATGGCCTTTCCTCCTGAACATTCAACATCATTCAGGTCAAAATTTTCTGCTTTAAACTTAGAAAACTACTTTCATACTATGTGAACATTTACAGCATCCTCTCCAAATCTTTTTCATTGTAATCATTACTTTTACTTTATGAAAATAAATTAGCATTAAATGTCGATAATGAATCTTGTTTTCCCTTATATTCAAAGTTATGTAACTTTCTTTTGACAAAATGAAACTGTAAATAAATCTGTGAAAATTTCTAATAACTTCTAATCACTGAACCTCTTCAGCATCTACTAAAACATGGAAGATGTGACAAATCACAAATGTTTTCGGAATCTACCTGATTCCAGCTTCAAATTAAAATAGTTTCTTGTCCTAATTATTGAAATTGTCTATTTCAAATTTTTAATGACAGAAAAGTCGAATATGCCTATACCAATAAAACCCAAGTTTTCACTAATGAAAAAAAAACTTTTCTTCCAATTCAATAATAATAATAGTAATTATTAAGCATAGTAAACAAAATAAATTATGGCCTTATCATAACCTGCAATCAGAGCCTCATTGTTCTTTTCATACATCCTAGGCACTTTTTAATTTTTAAAATATAATCTTTTTCTTTTCTTGTCTGCAAAACTGTACAAGAATTACTGTTGATACAAAAATGAGCAAAATTTAGTATTCAGCTTTCCTAATATAAATATAGCTCTAAGAATGTACTTGTCAATCATAGGATCAAATTCTGAAGGAGGATGATCTTTTTCAACATTAAATTACATTAAAAATCATTTAATATCTAATTTGTCTCAAACAAAATTTTCATATTTATCTGTACTTTCCATAGAAAGTGAAATATTAAACAGTTGCCAGTTATGGAAATTATTAAAGATTTTGCATGCAAAAAGTGTAAAAAAATCTACATAAAGTAAACTAACTGAGCAAAAATTTAATGTTTTATTTTAATTTCCATAACTTCTATTTTCTCTATTTTTAATTTCATAGACCCTTAATTTCTTGTAGGCACTTTAAACATAGTGCCTAATAGCATTAAATCTAGCAATATCTGGTTAACATCTTTAACCTATATATTAGTTGAAAGAAGGTTTCAGCTTTCTGACTTAAAGTTTGATTAAATGACTAGGATAAAAAATATGGTTCAGGTATCAAATTAAAACTCCTACGCTGTAAATGATGCCACTGAAAAAAATTTGAAAATGGTGCAATAGTTCAGATGTGGTGGAGTGGCAAAGATACAATGTTAAGTCTACAGCAAGTCAAGCAATAAACATGTCAGGCACTTACATGCCATCTAGCAATTTAGTTTTCTTAACTTTAGTTAAATTAAACAACTACAAACCTTTACGGTGTGATATTATATAAAATTACACCGTAATTTCACATATAATATCACACCGTAAAGGTTTATAGTTGTTTAATTTTGCTTTAACACGGTGTTGTTGAGAAGTTTGATTAACTTTTAGTTTCTCACCATTATTGTGAATTCCTGTTTTGCTGGTAGGTTAACTTTTATAACAGCCAATGAAACTGCTATGAGGTTGCCAACACTATCCTCACCATTAATCTGAAACCCACCAGTTGAAGTTGGTTAGCCTTAAGAATGCTAAATTGCCACCCTGAGACTCAGATGCAAAATTGAAAGAAGCCATTGAGAGAGAGGACTGATGGAAAGAGCCTCATGGTATCAGAGAACAAGTAGATGTGAATCACCTACAAATGGCCCAGAAAACACTTGCTATATTGATAAATTTTGTGTAAAACGCCAAATTTTGAAAGAGCTTACAGTAGAGCGTTGTTTATCCGAAAGTCGATCATCCAAAACGTCAGTTATCCGAAAGAATTCCAGTCAGCAAATTTAAATTTTCACTAGTGCTGTGGTGCTGCAATCATTGGCTATGTCTTGGGCTACTCCATTTTTTTGTTGATGTGTGTGTTTTAGCTGTTAGCACGCACTTTTGTGTGGTGTTTTTCTGAGGACTGTGTGTCGTGCTGAATCAAACATTTTTGATACTAGATTAACTTCTAAAGTATAAATTTCTTGTTTTTATAATTTTCAATATATTTATTTTGTTTGTAAAAAAGAAAGAAATAATTTTTAACGATACAATAGCCACAATTATTATTTTAAAAAGTTTATGTTAGGCTTAACATTGATGAAAATTCAACGTGAAGCAACATGCAACGAAGAAAAATTTCAACATGAGATAGGTTAATACTGTATATTTTTTTCATACATAATCGGTTATCCGAAAAATAAGTTATCCGAACAACCCCAATCGATTCGGATAAACGGCGCTATACTGTATTGTATTTTAACTGAATAAAACAGTCAATTTTGATGGGTTCCTACTAGTTGCCAATGAATTCAAAGAGATTAATTCTTGATTCTCTAGCTTTAGTTTGTTCCATCCCTTGTAAATTTATATTATGCCCTTCTCTATTGTCTAATCCCATCTTCAGATTAGTGTTATAACTTTTTAAAAACTAATTTTGACTAAAAGGAAAATCAGGATCCTACTGAATTTATCTAGCTTAATATTTATTATTGAGCTGCAATTTAAAAAAATTGTACTTATAAATTTCCATTGTTGTCCATCTGTAATTCCTTAATCTCTAGATGAACTCCTTAATCTTATCTAATGGAGTTAGATAGATGAAAGCTGAGCCCATATGTGGAAAGCTTAGAGGCAAGAGGTTCCGATTAACTATATAAGAACTTCTAGTTTGCACCAGAAGTCACATTATTTCAATTAAAATTTCCTCTGAAAGGAATATAGATATATAGAATATGATAGATGACTGGCATAACTCTATTGCTAACAAGAAAGTATGATGTACAGGGGCAAGACACTGCTAATTTGAAGTGGCAAGCATATATTTTAAATTAAATTAATTAAAAATATACACTCAAACAAACCTTTACATATGCAGCCGTAATTTAATAGATAAATTCAAACGTTTTCGACCATATTCAATGGTCTTTATCAAGAAAAAACTGAAAAATCGAACTTCGAACCAAAATTTGCGTTAAGATACAGGCGTTATTTTTGGAACGTTTTTAAAAAGATATTCTATCGTATAAGCGCCATCTCTACATATTGGCTATAATTAGTTAAAATAATACCAGTAAATACATTAAACTACAATAAAGTGTTAAAATAATGCCCGTAAATACATTAAAATACAATAGAGTGCATATAGAAACAAGAGTTAAGAGAGTTGCCGCTATGCTAACTTTCTTGACTCTTATAGTATGCATGTTCGCCATGCTGCCGATACTTTGCTTGCATCCCGGAAGTTGATAGCTAAACCTTTTTGGCTTGTTTTGCAGATATGCCAGGCTTCAGCGTATCTGAGGTGCTTTTTGTCGCGTACTATTTGTATCAATTTAGCACGGTCCCACTCCGCTTTGACCTCTTGTGGGTCGACTAAGACGTACGTCGCCAGCGCTGTGCACGGCTGTTCTTTTCTTATATTTCTCTGATGCTCTAACAGCCTTTGTTTGNTATCATTGATGTACTTTAACAAAAAATCGTCGTAAGTGCTTCTTTTCATGACAACTAAGTCCTTGGACTTGTCGGCCCTTGTGAGCACCAGATTGACGAGTTATAATTGGGCAACGCCGGCCAAAAAGTATCGAGCCCTAGTCCTGAAGATTTGCAGGAACGATGCAAAACTTGGATTTTTGACGGATTGCAAAAAATGCAATGTCTTTCCAATGTCGATTTGGAGATTACGTTTACCCCAAGGATGTGCCTCTCTACTACCTAAACTACGTGCAGTATGCTTAAGAAAAGCCATCCGGTCCACACGACGAAGGAGATTCTACTTGCTTAAAGTACTAATTGAGCTAGAAAACGAGATGTACGAGCTGGGACCACAAGTTTTAAAGGAAGCTAACCTCCGAGTTGTAGGCTTAGCTAATCAAGTGTCGGTTAGATTACGGAAGAGATATAAGAAAAAAATGGACTGGATCAAAATGCACCAAGAATGTCGTAAAACGCAGCTCAACCCTACAATTATATGCTGGGATGACATCACACTTCCAACATGCTTGAAAGAAGCATGTAAGTATGGACCTAAGTATGCACCACCACCTAAACTTGCTCCTGGAAAGATTATGCCAGAAGTCGAGCATGCTATAGAGGGACTTAGTAAGATCAAAAAAGAAATGTTTAGATGGGAAGTGGCGCTTAAAATCAAACAAGATTATAGTAAAAGGGATTGCGACACAATCTGGGCAAGCATCAAGAAGAGTCGGGAATGGCTGAAAGGTAACAGTCTGGTGCTCACAAGGGCCGACAAATCCAAGGACTTAGTTGTCATGAAAAGAAGCACTTACGACGATTTTCTGTTAAAGTACATCAGTGATACTAATTGTATTAAAGCGCATGCACGCGCTCTAGAAAGACAGCAGGCAAGAGTTAAAAGATTTGCAAACACACCATTGGCTAAAGAGCTTGGTTTGACGAAGATAATAGTTCACGCACCGTCAGCACCTAGGCTATTTGGATTCGCCAAAATCCATAAAAAGGATAAAAGCTTAAGGCCTGTCGTTGATAAAGGATGCGCCCCCACAATTTTATTGGAAAGATTGCTCAATGAGTTCATTCACAAGTACTCACCCCCACATCGATATAGCGTAAAACAACCGTTAGAGCTTATACGAAAAATGGCAAATATAAAGTCCCAAGAAGTTAAGTATATGACCGTATTGGATTTCAAGGCGTTGTACCCTTCCATCCTGTTAGAACCATGTTTTTGCCATTTACGGGATTTCCTTTTAAGCAAGATCAAGCATCCAGAAAAGAAGAGAAAGCATATTTTAGAGTTAACGCATCTAGCAACTTTTTCTTCTATTTTTAACTTTAAAGGCGTCACGTACACGCAACAGAAGGGCGTCGCCATGGGAAGCCCAATGGCGGGTACATTATGTGAGATGGTGTTAAGAACGCTAGAGAATACCATTGTGCCCAGTTACGAAAAGCAAATCCTACTATATGCAAGGTATGTCGATGACGTGGTTATTTTATGGAGTGTCAAACCCAACTTACAGCATTTCATAAAGAGCGTTAACGACAACAAGTTCGGCCTCGAAATTGAACTAGAGCAAGAAAGTAATACATGCATACACTTTCTGGATTTATATATACAAATTGACAGCAAAGGGAATTTTCTCACTAAAGTCTATAGAAAGCCTACGTACAACCCGATATTTATCCCATGGAATTCACACGACCCGCCTAAGTATAAGCTAGCTGCATTCCGGGCGCTCATCGCGCGAGCTTATTCGCACTGCAGCAGTACCCAGGACAGAAACGAAGAGCTCTGTTATATCAATAAATTAGCTAAGAGACACGGGATTAATACTAAAGCTATAAAAAGCCTATGTAAGACACGTAGCAAGATGAGAAGTCTACAAAATACAGAAGAGTTCACAACGATGGAGTACAAGGCCTCGCTAAGCAACGTATATAGGCGAATAGGAGCTGCTACAAAGAAAAGAATAATATACAAAAGGAGTCCCACTATTTATCAGTTGCTAAGGGCAGACAAAGATGCTGTGGACAAGAACACTATTCCAGGAGTCTACAGAATCCCGGTTACAGACACACGGAGGCAGAATATGATGTTCTACATCGGAGCTACCGGAAGATCCATCAAACAAAGGCTGTTAGAGCATCAGAGAAATATAAGAAAAGAACAGCCGTGCACAGCGCTGGCGACGTACGTCTTAGTCGACCCACAAGAGGTCAAAGCGGAGTGGGACCGTGCTAAATTGATACAAATAGTACGCGACAAAAAGCACCTCAGATACGCTGAAGCCTGGCATATCTGCAAAACAAGCCAAAAAGGTTTAGCTATCAACTTCCGGGATGCAAGCAAAGTATCGGCAGCATGGCGAACATGCATACTATAAGAGTCAAGAAAGTTAGCATAGCGGCAACTCTCTTAACTCTTGTTTCTATATGCACTCTATTGTATTTTAATGTATTTACGGGCATTATTTTAACACTTTATTGTAGTTTAATGTATTTACTGGTATTATTTTAACTAATTATAGCCAATATGTAGAGATGGCGCTTATACGATAGAATATCTTTTTAAAAACGTTCCAAAAATAACGCCTGTATCTTAACGCAAATTTTGGTTCGAAGTTCGATTTTTCAGTTTTTTCTTGATAAAGACCATTGAATATGGTCAAAAACGTTTGAATTTATCTATTAAATTACGGCTGCATATGTAAAGGTTTGTTTGAGTGTATTTAGTTAAGAAATGCAGTCTCTGACGAGTTATAATTAAAAATATGATTAAAAATTGCAGCCTGGTATTGTGACAATGTCATAATAAATAATTGCTTATTTTATATTAAGATATTTTTGAAAGTTTTACAAGACTTAACATGTTGTCAATTGCAAAATTAATATCCAAAATAGTGTTTGTTGACTTAAAAATACATAAGAGTTAGATTGCAAAAAGTTTATGTTGCATCATATATATTATTTTATTTACTATCTGTCTGACCCATTGTAATCTACTGAACTATCAAACAGATCTTTTTATGAGACTTTTTGAAACCTTTACTCTAATTGATAATGATTTCCTTTGTTTTTATTAATTTATTTTCAAAAATTTGTTTTTCTTTAATAAAAAAAATAATCTGGGAGATGCATGCACAGTATACTAACTAAACCAATGTCAATGGTAAAGATTTCCATGAAGAAATAAGGAAATTTTAAAAAATCCAGCAACAAGTTGCTTAACTTTTCCCATAAACATTTGGGGTGCCATTTTTTTATCATATTTTATTATTGAAAACTTTCTATATTTTTAACTATTATAAAATGGCAAAAAGCTTAATTTTGAGGGTAGGGATGCATTTTATAAAAAATTGTAAATGCTAATAATAAGTAAAATTGTCATTAAGTCCAACCCTACTGGAGATACACATGACCCCCTTTATCACCCCATCCCTTGACTTCTAATCATCAAACTTTAATAGCATCAATCTCTCTAATAAACAAACCACCCTGCAAAATTTCAGAAATTTTTGACAAAAAGCACAGGAATTATTAAGTTTCAAAGAGGGTGAACAAAATTGTGCCCCCCACACACACATTAACATCCATACATACAGAAAAAAAACCTCTGAATTTTTTTGTTTCTTGACATTTCAAAATCTTAAGTCCAAAAATGTAAAAATCATGGGGGATCATTTTTGACTGATCATCATACTTTCCCTCTAGTATATATAACCAGCTGAGTAAGTAAAAACACATATTTAAAATTTTTTTATTAATATACATAGGCATATAATGAAAAAGAAAACTGTTGCATTCTTGTATAAAATGAGAAGTCAGTTTTAACAAATAATATCTGGTTCAACGGTATTGGATTTGAATACACAAACTAAAGTTAGAGAATAATAATTTGAAAGTAATCAATCATCCATGCATTTGTTGGCAATGATGGTGAGAAGCTTGGGTAACAATGATTCACATCCAACAGGTAGACGTATTCGTTGAATGGACATAGGGAACACCCCTCTATTCTTGCACATTGTAAGGAATCTCAGCTTAGCCCTAGCCCTAACAAGGGCTAGAACTGCCTTCTTATATAACTTAGCCGGCATAGCTTCAAATAGCATAGCTTCACTCATGCTTCGACCCCAGGCATAAGTGCCAACTTACATAACGCGTGAATCATTAAACTTTCACACAGAAGGGAACACACAAGAATGCTAGAAACCTTGGAAATATATAAAGCGGGGTTACGAAATAACTGCATCAACTATAAAGATGTGAGTAATATTTCTACAGCTTGGAGGTTTGTCGTTGAATACCCCCACAACTCTAGTTAAAGCATTTCATGTGTGTGTAAAATAAGATTGTTTAGATAAGATTGTTTAAATATATTTTGTTTATGTAATGCTTGATACGCATGCTCATAATGAGTTGAATATGTTCCAAAACTTTTAAATCTGTAAGCACAACGACTTTTCGAATCTCTAAACGTTTAACCTGAAGAAGGCCAAAGAATACGGTCGAAAACGTTTGTTTTTCAAATAAATATTTTACTGGTCAAAGGTTTATGGTGAATTGATTTTTATAAAATTACTAATATTGTACAAAAATGCACCTAAATAAAAACCATTATAATTTTACATATCCTAAACAAATCAAAAATAAAGAATCATTTTTTAACCATTTTACATAAAATTTGATTGAAGTCAATGTGTTAAGCATATATTTCATGTTATATAATACAGTGGGTGATCAGTTAACGAACAGTTCGGACAGCAAAGAAATCGAATAACGAACACTTTCGCAAAAGATTTTTTTTTTATGTTTGGACAATGAACACTTCACCGAACATAAAAAGAAGAGAGATAAAATAATGAATACCGATTGGTTTTACCTTGTCCCCAGGTAACAATTCGAAACCTTTCAGAGCGCAGGAGACGCTTAACCCGATATCAATCGGATATTATTCCTCCAAACTTTGAAACTCTCCACTGTAATTCCAGCTTTTTGTTTACCTTTCTGACAAATAATTTTTTATAGTCTTTGCAAGACTATTGGGCACTCATTACATTTTGCATTGGTTTTTATTTTCTAAAAGGTGAGAGAGTAACTGTCCTGTCAGATAATCGTTAACAGTTTAACACTAAAATTTTGAATTTCATTCAGGCCTCACATTTACATAATTCTTTTGTGTGCTAGTTGATTTCTGTTCATTGAATTTTTGTGAGTGCTTTTCTGAACTTTTTATTTCAAAAAAACATTGATAATATTATGAAGCCTAAAAAGAGTGGAGTATCAAGAACTGTGCTCACCTTAAAAACCAAGCAAGAGATAATAGCCAAGGTAGAGAGTGGGCAGAAGATGTCTGATGGGGCTACATAGTACAGCTTGAACAGGTCTACAGTAGGCACAATCTTAGCTAAGAAAGATATAATCAAGAAGACTCAAGGAGCTAAAGGAGTAATGAAAATCACATCAGAGAAACAAAGATGTGCAATCTATGAAAAAATGGAGATTGTTTTTAGTTTCTTATTACATGTAAACAAACATAGTAAGAAAGTATATATAATTTATTTATTTATTTTTTGGTGTTCCAGAATGAATTAATCAAATTTCCATAAAAATCTATGGTAAATTGATAATCGGTTAACGAACAATTTGAATAGCAAACAAAGTCTTGGAACAGATTATGTTCGTTAACTGATCACCCATTGTATTTCTTAATCTGAAATGGACCATACTATTATTCAAGTAAAATGTTCATTGTTCATATATTTATAATTGAATAAAGAATGAATGGTGTTTTTATTGAAGTAAATGATTGATGAAACAAAATAGTCACATACATTTATATATTATATTTTGAAAAATTCAGAAATTGTTTTCTAACGTATTTTTTAAAAATTGTACAGGGTCTTTATAATTAAAGTTCCACTTTGAAATGGCCATAAAAGGAAACTACTGGACAAAATGTTATGAAACTTGGTAACAGTTTACAGAAAGTCATGGAATTTTATTTCCCCCCAAAAAAATAGTTCAAAAACTCACCATCAGCAGGAAATGGTGCTGTATGCAATATTGTTATACAAAAAATAAAACATGAAGACATCTGTTGAAAATGAAAAATTTGGAGAAATTGAAAAATGTGATACACCAACATGTCTATAACATTCCTCCTAGATTTGCTAAGAGATACTGTTCAGAATGCAATTTAACTTGCTTTGAGAAAATGGTGGATGCCACATTGAACATGCTTTGTAACATGTTTTAGAAACAATTAAAAACAACTGACGTCTTAATGTCTTATTTCATTTAACAATATTGTGTACAGTGCCATTTCCAGCTGGTGGTGAGTTTTTGAACTATTTTTTTTTTGTGGAAAATAAAATCCCATGACTTCCTGTAAACTGTTACCAAGTTTCATAACATTTTATCCAGTAGTTTTCTTTTATGGCTGTTTCAAAGTGGAACTTTAATTATAAAGACCCTGTATATTAAAACTGAATGAAGATTTAGTAAATTATAACACACTACCATTAATTAAAAAGACTCCAATTTACTAATCAAAAAACTTTACATTTTAAATTATGATTTCTCTCATTTTTAAAATAAACAATGTTTATATTTTTTCATTCACACTTGGGATAACTTTTAGCCTATTATTTACGAGGGCTGTTCGGAAAGTTTACGACCTTGCCTATATGCGGCGCTGCAATCAATTTAATTTTTGGCAGAAATAATTCAGCCATCTTTGCTAAAGATATGATATCAATTTCCGCTTGATTTGTCAAAAAGTTTTGCAATGACAGCTTAGCAGATAGTCAGTGTGCACATGCTTTGTCAAAAATCGAGAAGATGGAGACTCGTGCGGTCATAAAATACCTGACAAAACAAGGGTTGACCCCATCTCAAATCAAAGCTGACATGGATGAAGTTTTAAGAGAGTCTGCTCCTTCATACACTACTGTGAAAAAATGGACAGCCCTTTTTAAATCTGGCAGAGAAAGTGTGGAAGATGACCCTCGCAGCGGACGGCTGTCAACTGCTGTCACTGAAGAAAACATCAACAAAGTTCATGATTTGGTGTTAGCAGATCGCTGTTTGAAAACGCGTGAGATAGCTGAGACAACAGGCATCTCTGTTGACTGAGTGCACCACATCCTAACTGAAAATTTGGGTATGACAAAGGTCTCAGCAAGTTGGGTGCCGCATCTGCTGACCACGGAGCAAAGACGTGTTTGCATTTTGATGTCAAAGGAGTGTTTGGACTTCTACAAGAAAAACCCACGGGATTTCTTGCGTCGGTTTGTGACTACTGACGAAACGTGGATCCATTACTACACTTTTGAAACAAAAGAACAGTCGAAGCAATGGAAACACCACAGTTTGCCACCAC